GGCACCTTAATCCACTCACGAATAAATATCTGATAGTGTAAGAGAGCTCTGTTCACACAGGTCCACGGCTGCGGAGGGCTTAAGAATGGGACATTAAAGAAGATTCCTGGTCGCCATTGGCAGCTCCTCCACGCGTTCAACTGAAGATATTGAGGGCAGTTTTTCCTGCACACTGATCGACATTCTTCGAGTCATCTCGAGCTCCTCTAAAAACCCCAGCGCAATCAGTTCCTCCTCTGGATACCCGACAGTTGGCATTTGGTTCTCGGCAGATTCTCGTGGAGCCAATAGGTGACCGGCGTTTGAGCCGGAAGTTTCGTCATCCGAAGCGAGGCACCATGTGACTTCACGGTTCCGGTTCGTCCGGTGCCGGTCGTGGCGCGTCCAGCTGCATCAAGAGCCCTTCTAGGCGTGGTAGCCGTGCTGTTTTCGCGGTGAAAACGGTTCGCAGTTACGCGGTACGTTGTTCTAACGCAAGCCATTGAGGGCATACGATGTTCCAATTCCCGTGAAACAAAGCATGGAAGCAACGATGGGTCGTCGCTGTTAAGCGAGTGATGGAGCGAAGTGACCTGTGACAGACAAACGTCGGTGACCGTTTATGCGTGGCCAATATTGTTACAGGCCAGTAGAACGTGTTCTGTCTTGAGGTAGGGCCGCGGGAAATAATGATCTCTAACAGTCTTTTGGCACCCACCAAAAAGGTCTCGATTAAGCCGCGAAGGGGTGAGCACTGCTTGTTGTACAAGGCATACGCGAGATGCGATCTCGCAGGCAATCAGTTCATGGCATGACGTTTCGTCGACATACCGTGCCGTCGCCAGGCCGTTTAATTCTTATATCGACAACTCGGATTAACTTTTTCTGTAATGAGCCGCCGCAGACTGTTCCCGCGAAGCGGCGGTGAATGGGTGGCTTACTATAATATAAATAAACAAAAGAACAGGTCAGCTTGCTGTAATATAAAGCAGTAAAAGCAAATGGCAGCACCTTCATATTGACCGATAATAAAGCGGTAGTACGACCCTGCGTAGCTCATATCACAATCGGTGCTCGTTCATGCATGCTTTCTTATTCGACATCATTAAAAAAAATAAAAATAAAAAAAAAAACGTGAGAGGGGGTGGGGGATATGGTAGTTTACGGGGGACAACCTAGTCGAAGTACCAATAACGCGTGAGTGTTAAAAAGCAGGGGAGGAAGTGGCCGAGTGGGCTAACGCGTCTCAGCTCGGAGCGTGGAGCGAAAGCTTGCGCTGGGAACCTCCTGGGTTCGGTTCCCCACCGCCCTCGCCCGTTTCGATCTGGATGAGTTTCGTACCGGCACGGGTCCGTGTGATCACTACTGCGTGATTCACGTTAAAAACCCCAGGTTAGTGGTTGTACTGCACTGGCTAAATTTCTCATCTACTGCTAAGAGACCGATTATCCGTTGAGGCGCATCTCCATCATGGCTGTATAAACATACAGAGCAAACCAATTTTTAGTGTTAAAAAGCAAGGATTGTCACGTAGTCAGATGTCATCGAGACTGACTTGTGTACGGAAGTGGCGTTTCAATCGCTCGAGAAAACATATTACCTGAGTTTAAAACGCCGTCTGACCGACTTCTTTCCCTGTCTTCAACTTTTGATTGCTTCAAGATTTTCTTACCCAGTCTCAGGTGTTCTAACAAAATGAGAAAAGTACGCCAGACCTCCGATCGGGCATTTCAGCTGGCCGCGTCCTACGGCTTACATTCGCACCTATTTCAGTCGTGATGTGATCTAACGTAACCATCAAAAATAAACAGTACCCAAATAAAAAACGCTGGCTCAAAAGGAAAACGAAACATCTAACCTGAGTTTTCATGCGAAGACCCGGAAAGCGCGGTGCGAGTGCAGCTTGCCGCCGGCCGCACTCGCTCTGCGCTTTCGTGGCCGTTCTCGATGCTTCTGCGTACCGACTACTACTTAACATATCCGTAGAAGTAAGTTGAGACGTTCAGAACTGCGTAAGTCACCCAGCAGCAGAGGAAGGTGGCCCGGATTGATCGGGTTTCAACACCCGCACACGCTTCCATAGCCGTCCTGGGGCTGCGTCGGCTGCTAGCTACGAACCGGAAGTGAAGAATACCCGGAGTGCTTTGCGGCTGCTGCCAAACGCCGGTCACCTATTGGGGCATTCTGCATGAGAAAGAGCCTCCCTCGTTCTCAGAGTGATCGTAATGGTTGTCCGCAAACTTCAGGATTCGCGTTTTGCCTGCCGTTATTTTTCTCATCCTGTTCACAAAAAGCACTTTCCGCTCCCCAGTGCGAGCATTCCTGACACGGCACGTAGCATCATATAACTATTCAATCACGTGGTACGGCCCTTCCTACTTTGGAAACATTTTCTTTGAGATTCCTCGTTTAACGGCCATTACTTCAATGTACACGAGATCGCCTACGTTGTCGATTAGTCCTCGGGAATTCCGATCATACAGATCCTTTCAGTGTCCAGCAAATTTCGCTAGTTTCTCTCGTGCTGTTTCATGAGCCATTTTAAGTTTGTGACGTAATTCTTGGGTATAATTGTGCGGTGTGTCGTTATTGACGGGTGGTGTGGTTTATATAAGAGATCGGGTAAATCAGCGTCACATCCATACAATAAGTAAAAAGGCGTCTCAACTCTACTTTCCCGTTTAGCTCTACATGCAAAACACACAATATAAATGCATTGGTCACTGTATTTCTGGTCTGCACGCACATAGTGGGATAGCATTGAGACAAAGGTCTAACTAAGACGCTGTTTTGCTCTGTCGCACTATGAATTATAGGCTGCTGTTTAGAGCGTCCGTATCCTAAGCAGATCGCCTACATTCCGGAAGAATATTGATGTAAGAATAGTGCATTAATCTGTATAGATTTGCTGTGGCCCTCCTTGGCGAAGGATAACGAGTTCTACTAAGGTTTTAGCTACAGATTCAGCTTTCTGGTGTGGCATTGCGACGACGTTTGCATAATTAGCAAGAAGATCTTCAAATCCCAGCACACAGTGATTTCCTTCTGCCGTAGTTAGAAACGCCCCACAATATTCATTCCTACCCTTTCACATGGTTGTGCAACCTCTTCAAATGCTTGCAGAGGTGCTGGCCTGCTATTGTGTGACGATTTATGAAGCATACACGACAGACGTTGGGCACAGTAGCTCGGTATCTTCTTATTAAATCTGTTTCAAAAGTTCTTTTCTTCAACCCTTTCACTTGTTTCGCCCGTCCCTCGGTGTCCAGAGCAAGGCTTTTTTTATGATATAGTTGTTTCGCGAAATTTTTAAGCGATGCAGGGACAACACTTCGGTTGTTCACAAGACGTTCTTGCTTCAACGCAGTCTGTTCTCTCCGACAAAAAGGGTTTCGAGAGTCGATAACATAGCATCCCGATGTCTTATAAGGTTGCTCTTCGCACTTCGCATTGAGTAACTTCTCTTACTACATCTGGTTTATACGTCAGCGTTCTGATCGTTTTTTCACCCGCGTGTTCCACTTTAAAGTTATGTTCTTGCAGTAGCAAGTTGAACGTGGTAAACGAGAATTGGGGTCACGGGCGTAAATCAGCCATTTGAGTGCACAGCAGTTGGTTATCACCTTGAACATTCTTCCGTACAAGTAACATCGGAAATGCTTAACTGCCCTGACTACCGTGAAAACATTCTTGTTCCGTTTTAGCATATTTATGTTCGGCCAGATTCGACTTCCCGCTGGCATATGCAATTGGGTGCTCGTTTTCCTGAAACTCTTGAGCAACCACTGCTCCCAGTGCACTCTGAGAAGCGTCTGTAATCAGAAAATGAACCCTTTAGAAAAGTCCGGTAAGCTCAACAAAGGAGCCTGTGTCAGTCCATGTTTCAGAGCATCAACTGCCGCTTCAGCTTCTATGCTCCAGCTGAAAGTGACCTTCTTTGACGTGAGTGCAGTCTTTTAGAGTGCCCATTTTGCATTGTGACGTACGGGCAGAAACAGGGGAAGGTTGGCATCTTTCTAAGCACTCCGATATTCACCATTCGCAACAAAAAGAATAAACGTCGGTCCTAGATCTTCTTGCAAGAGTGTGTTTTTCTTAAATCAACAAACCCTTGGACGTTGCGACGTGATAAAGCATCGCGTACTAATGTTAATAGATGATCTTGTTTACAAAAGAGCCGATATAATCCCCTACGCGAAGCGAGAAGATATGAAACGTCAGGTCAGAGAAATGCTGGAAAACAACATAATTGAACTCTCCACATTCCTGTGGGGAGCTCCTGCTTTGTTGGAAGAGAAAGCATGTGGGTCATTCAGGTTTGTGATCGACTACAGAGATTTGTACAAAGAGGCTTCAATTGATTCTTACCCATTGCCCAATATGGAAGAAACGCTTGCTCTTTTTGGAATATGCACGCTACTTTCCTCTCTTAGATATGGCCGCCGGTTACTGGCAAACAGAAATAGAACCAAGTGACGAAAAGAAGACCGCTTTTAACACACCAAGTGGACACTATCAGTGAAAAAGAATGCCAATGGGACTGGTTAATAGCTCCGCCCTTTTTCAGCGTAAGGCGGATGCAATTTTGGCTGGTATTCTGGGCAAGACATGCTACGTCTATCTAGGTGATATCGTCATCTTCAGTCAAAGTTTAAACCGACATCTTAAAGATGTTGGGACTGCCCTGAGGCGACTGCAAGTGGCAGGACTAAAATTTAAACCGTCAAAATGTCAATTCCTTACCCGAGAAGTGAAAAACATAGGGCACATTTTGTCAAAGGAAGCGGTTCAGCCAGATCCAGGAAAGACGCTCTGTGTTAACGAATTTCACCGACCAAAGACAGTCAAAGAAGGCCGCTAACTTCTTGGTTTCATTGAATATTACAGATGTCACAAACCTGATTTTGCCGAAAAAACCGTTGACTGCGATAAAATGCTTAGAGGGGCCAGCTGGTGCATTGCAAAGGGTATAAAACGCCGAAAAAACAAGGACCGAGACACGAAGACAACGACATAAGGCGCACTCTCAACTGAAGTTTATTTGAAAAAGTACACGATATTATTCCCAACAGGAGCGCACAGTCATCAGTTACTCCCTCCCTCATCTAGTCACATTTTAAGTACTCGTACCGCCCGTAGATAGGGCCAGTGACGTTTCGCTGACACACTCATTTCCCCTAGCCCGAATCTCAAAAGCCTCACGCAGTTCGCGAGACACCTTGTTCTTGTGTGAGGTGGCGTTCCTTGGAACTTTGCCGCGAGCCATGCAATGGGAGTTTTCCATCGATTCGCTGTTACAGACTACAGGCTTCACTCCATGGGACATTTAATGCTTTCGCATTGAACCACAAAAACATAAAATAATCAAACTGTATAAATATCCTATCAACTACCTTGTTGTTGTTTTGGCTATTCCCCTCCTAACTGGCAGTGACGTGTAGGGTTCACGTCGCAAGCAGATAAAACCATTCAGAAAATGTTAAATGCTAACACACATTATATCATCCTTGACCATACAACAAAAAACTGTAACCCAAATTTAATTGTTAGGGCGAACCAATCAAGGCAGCTCAATATCACTCCACAAATTCATGACGTCGCTTCCTTTTGTCCTAAACGCAATCCAGTCCTTCATTCGTTGAATTTGTTCGGGTGAAAAGTGGTTTTTGTAGTCTCCAAAAATACCCTTGCGAATGAAGTTTCCTTTCTGCACGAACATTCTCTTGTCACTAAACTTCTGACCGAAAATTTTCAAAGATTTCAGCTGCCTTTCAGGTGGAAGCGCAAGGAGATTCGGTATCATCTGCTTCGCACTGTCGTTCACTTCCTTCTTGAGGCCTTCCAAGCTGGTGGATTTGACCACTTTCTCGAGCAACGTGTCGTCGGTTCTCAGCTTTCGACCGTACTGCTCACCTAGAAAGTCTGCAATCTTTAGCACGCAAGCCACGGTGTCCTTTTTTAAGTCTTCGTATCTTAAGAAAAGGACATTCGAATCTTTCCGGTTTTTGTACCAGGAAAGCAAGTTGTCAAAATACTCTCCGCAGCCAACTTGTCCGGTGAGAAACAACTCGAGGAACTGGTCGAATGTTGCGTCTTCTAGCCCGTAGTGAGGGATACCTTTGCAATGGTGGTAGAAGGAGACGCAGCAGTCGTACGGATTTCTAGCCACGTATATGTATTTGGCCTTCTCCGAATAAGGCTGCTTGTCAAAGGGAAGGTGGCACTTGATGGCACCCGGTCGCGTCATTTTCTCCGCCGCTTCGGCACCCAAGAACTCTAACCAAGGAGACATCAGCGTGAATTCCGTGAAGTCCTTCGGGAGGGCACCGTCGTTCAAGATGCAGTACACGATGTACTGAGTCCAAGTCGTGCCAGACTTTGGGTAGGTGACGATAAAGATGTCGTCGGACCGGGGTTTGTAGGACAGAGCGGATCGCACTGTGTCCTCGTCGAGGAAACTGCTGATGTAGAAGCCATCCAGGTCTTTGAAGAGGGGAGCGAAATCTGCGTTGAGTCCAGATGACATTTCTGCTTCTGCTTTATCCTGTGAATCGGGACAGAAAAAGGTGGCGAGTTCCGGGCATGTCACTAGCACTGTTCTGTTAATAAGATGGAAAAATGATGTAACAAGAATTAAAAAAAAAAAACAATCACGAAGCAGGAAGAGATAACTTAGTTTGCCAAGCCCAACGTTCCTTAAGTTGTTCGCGCTTTTCATGTGACCCGGATCTTTAAAGAAACATTTCCTGATTGCTTCCAAAAAAAGGTTCTTAGAATATGAAATAAAAAAATAGATACGATAATCTTTACCTAGAACAAGGTCATTCTACAATTTTTGTGACAATGATACATATAATATTAATATTACTGATTTATGAACTGCGATTTCAGACAAGACAGACTGCAGGGTATTAAAAGCCGTCAAAGACTTGTGCGTGAACTAAAGTGGTGAGTGTGAAAGGATGTGTACTCTAAGGGGAAAAAGTCAAAATAAACCTCAAAAGTGCACTGGAACGCTACTAAACACCGTTTCACCTTACGGCGTGCGGATATACGAGTCTCCGGAGCCAATTCATAGATCGAACCATGTCACGTGACGTTCCCGTTGCGAGGAGCAACGCGCAGTACACGAGTCACGTGACACGCGTGACTCGTGTCCCCCATAGCTCTATGTCTACTAACAGAAGGTATGTGCACTGAATTCTTTACCTGATCTTCCTTTATTGAGCGCGGGGCAAAGATTGGGTACTGATTGAACACCAGCCTGAAAGTAACGCTGACGCACCGTTTGACGACGTGGGTAAAGCGCAGTATCAAAACGCAAACAACCTACGTTGTTGTCCCGATCGGTGTAGTCTTCAATTTAGCTACTAGAGGCGCGACGGCTGGATCTCCTTCCCATTGCGGATGCACGTCACGACGTTTGCCATCACTCGAGCTTGACCGGTCAAATGTTGCTGTGCTAACGCTTGTATCTGCACTGATATTAAATCAAGCATGCGGTCTTTTGCTATCAAAGGCTTGAGAGCAAAGTTTATTTCATTAAATCGACAAGTTGATTACTCAGTGTTTTGCTGTTTTAGTGTTCGTTGATAAGGTCGTGAGAAAATGAATGAGAACGCAGCACACTTTATCTAAAGTCAGCGCCTAAATCAGCACAGAATCAGCAATGAATCAGCAACCTTGTCACATAGTCCAGCTTTGTACTCTCAGATAGTGGTGGTTGCTTTCGAATCCATGAGATGGCTCTGCCCTTAGAATAACTTATCCGTCTGTACATTAAATGTTCAACTGCAAGCACCTTCGTGGCATGTATTCAGATGTTAACGCAAGGACCCTCGCATTTAAATACGCCTTATTTATTCATTTAATGCCAATTGATACGCCAACGCTATTTTATTGTTCTACTTTATAGTTACAAAAGGCATCCAGGACACAGCCCCAGCTATGGGAACTCTGCCAAAAACGTTCCGGTGAAATAGCGCCCCAGATCCAGACACTGTCACAATATGGTGTATATTTAGGAGAAACCAGCTGAACAAACCAACCATGCAAATGAGAGGAGAACGTTCGAGACGGATTCAACCACTGGACTACCAACTGCGTTTAATGATACACTGCATCTTTATCGCCTACTAAGATCATTCAAAACATAGCTTGCTTGACTTTTTCCTTTTTTTTCTTCATTTTTAAACACGAACATCCGGCTCGTTTGTCTACTTGTGGGCAGAACTTCCACCTCGCAAGAATATACTCTCGCTCCTGGTTAAGTTCACAAGTAGAAAAACGAGCAGGATGCCCTAATTGCAAAAAAGAATAAATAAAAAAGGAAAAAGTGAAGCAAGCTATGTTTTGAACAATCTTAGCCAGTCGATGAAGATGAAGTGTATTATTAAACGCAGTGGCGATCTAGCGGTTGAATGCGTCTCTCACGCTTTCCTCTCACTTGTATTGTTGGTTTTTTCAGCTGGTCTCTGCTAAAGATGTTCTACCAATGTGCTTAACTGTTTCCCGTGGTTTATACGGCCCACGACAAAATCGTCCTGGTTAGAGCTACCATAGGAGCTACGCTTAGAATATCGGCACTCTGTTCCCAGATATTGTTCTAATTGCGACAATATGGTGCCTGCGCAGAGCAGACGCAACTGACGATCGTCGTGATTCAAATGTGCGACTTTCTCAACATTAGCTTCGGTGTTAGGAAGCTCATTTATTATTGTTTTGCTTTGTTGCGAACTATTAAAAGATTTCTGGAGGATGGAAAAGCGTTTCTTGTGATTTTAGATTAAGATTGAAATAGCTGGCAACCATGATTTTAAGACACAAGACGGGTAAGTGTCGTTACTCTGAAGAGTAGCTTATTTCGTGGTACTGGTTCCTGTCATAATGGTTTCGTAAAAAATGGCTAGTCAAAGTTTTTTTTTTTTGTCAAAATAGCCCCGAGGACCAAACCATGAAAATGATCCTGAATGAATTTTGCAGCATTGTTTTTTTGCTCTCCACCGGTTTGCCCGTAGCTTGTACTAAATATTTAAAGGGACCATGAAATTACTTTTTTACTTTTTCCAGATAGCTTTTACATTAAGCCATCAATGTTCACTGAATGCCGAACAGGCATCCGTTTTCGTCTCGGTTTATTAACTTCTGCACAAAAAATTAATGAAATATCGACTTTTTCTTTCTCTCCAACTGACCGCAAAACAAGCCGTGACGTTCGCTGTTTCTGGAACCGGAAGTTGTCTCGGCAGTAGGAGAATGGGAGCGTTAGCGGCGACGAGTTGGGGTGCGCCGGTAGGTTTTACTGCGCTGATGTCACCAATGTATTTTCTGAATCGGCGCCTCTCAACGCCGCATCGCAGCTGAGCGAAATTCAACGATATATGTTCCGCTACAGCGATAGCATGGGACTAGTCCCATACGCCGGTATGCCTGTTGGGAAGTGCAGCGAGTCTTCCGGTGAAGTCTCCAGAAGTCAACCCAACTGTCATTGTTGGTAAAAGGCGGCCCGTGTCAGTCGTTTGCAAAGCGACGTAGATGGAAACAAATTGCTGCGGCGTCTTTCGCGGGTTAGGAGATGCAGGAGCGAGCCGACGTTAAAAAAGATACGTTTGAACTACGAGTGTCAGCAAGAGCCACGTAAATACCTGTTCACACTCGGAGCAGACGCGCGCGTTTAATGGAAGTGCTGTATTCGCGCTGTTGGTAAGCGCTTCGGGACCGATCTTTTAAACCGTGTTACGAAGGTAATCCATATGGCGTTTATTTCAGCTCTATATCACACAAAACAAGAAGATAGAATCGGCGAGAGTCCCTTTTCAACGAGTGTTCGTCAACACTGCCTCGGAAAACAAGGGGAAGAGATTGACCTCACCTCTTAATCTAAAATTGAGGTCAGCGATCAAACTATAAATGCGGAAAGGGTCCACAAGGGTAGCGCGGGCATATTCCATTCAGCACGCCAGCCGGTCGTAGGCAGACGGTCTTGCGACGAAGCAACGCTGCGCCAAGTCGGAGTGCCTGCTAGGCCTATATTCTGAGCAGCTCGCTTCGTCGGAGTCGGTAGATTCGTGGCCAGCGTTCTTGTTCGTCGTGGTCTGTTTTAAGTACTTTTTTTCTTGCGGCTTGAACTCAGCACGCGCGAGAAGAACACGTAGAAAAATAAACGTTCAGTCAGTCAGAGTTTTGAGAGGAAGGAAATCAAAGGAAAAAAACGTTCGACGGCCGTCGCGACCCTGCCCTACTGCGCACGCGCAGTAGTTGCTTCGTTTACCACACGATAGATGGCGTTTGGCTCTCAGCATTATCAAATTTGGAAATTTTCGCAACACATCTCTAATTATGCTACAAGATGTGGATCTAAATATTATTTAACAAAACTTTTAGGAAACATTCGCCGGCTATTTATTGTTTACGATCGCGGTGCTGGTGAGGTAGGCTCTAACCCAATAGGCGACGTGGATTCGGCTGACGTGCCCCGTTTCCGCGGATGCACCGTAGCGAAAAGGCGAAGGGAAGAAGGCGCAAAAGAGTCCAGTTTTCTTTTAAAAGTTCAATAGCAAATACTTTTTTTTGGCTCCCTATTTTTGTGTTTTTGTGTTTCTTTTCACACCTTTTACGACGTGCGGTGGATGAAATTCGATTTTAAAATCATTTCATGGTCCCTTTAACATATTCAACGAAAAGGTTTGACAATTACGTGTGTTACAAAATATTTGTCATGATAAAGGTATAGTGCAATTTAAAATGACGCTTACTTTGCAGTTCAATAATTGGGTAAACTACAAGATAGAAGTATTTTATAGTCTACAAAGTACATATAGCACAAATAGTAAAAGATTAACTTTTTTACGTGAGCAGCCCAAGTTTTCTATAATTCAAGCTACTGTTTCTGCATTGAGCTTGCAAAAAAAAACTTAGTGAATGAAAGTTTATGTTTTAGAATATTGGCACTTTTCACATCCAATCATGCGTTTTAGTTTATATTGTGAGATCGCATCGAAAAAAAGAGAAAGGTTGCCTCCATTAATATGGCGATTTGGGCCAGTTGGTTCATGATCGCAGGTGATCGTGTAAAGGTTGACTCCACATGAACCACGAAAGAGTTTTGTGATTCAACTTCTTCTGTCCATTACCAGCTTCTAACATTTAGTTGTCATGTTTTAATTAGAAGTGAAACAAAATTTAAATGGAGGCAATTCGCTGAGGATAGGTATTTTCTACCTTAATTTTCTGCTTCGGAACAGTATCACTGTAAATAACCCGCTTTCGGTCCACTTTTTTAAAACGAAAGAAGAGATTGAATTGACGCTTGAACGGCAGTATGCCGTACTAACGATTCCGCAAGAATATTTCAAGCAATTTTTAAGTATAACAAAAGATGGTATGCACATATGCTAGGTTAATATTCCGATCATATACAAATTGCAAGCAGCAAAGTTTTTATAAAAAAGTCTAGAAAATTACAATTATATTTCATTTTGCGGTTTGAGATTGAGATTCTTTATACCGGAGCCGTTTTGTGAGGCACCATTTCGTTCGCGATGCATTTTTCACACACACGTGGTGTCCATGCCAGTGCACTGGTTTCAGCGCAGCCCCATATGTCTAAGTTATTTTTATCTTGCTCTTGAAAGGTACAGAGATCCAAAAGAAATACATAAATTACTTCTGCTAGATCTTCTGGAACGTAAAGGGCTGTTTATACTCCGACGTTCAGCGCAGTGAACGCACCGTAGCACAGAAAGCGCGTGTTTCATTGGCCGGAAACCAGAAACTCGATATGTCCGACCTATCAGTATCTGTGCGCGCTGCGCTACGCCACGCCCGTCGACATTACGTTGGAGTATAAACGTACCTTAAGTCTAATAAACATTTTCTCTTTTGGAAAAAGGCATTCCTGATTTTTTTTGCTGTAATTGATTCCAACTGTTGTGAAGCATATAACTGTCAAAGCATATAACCAGTCGCATTAAAATTAAAATTCAATACAGAGCACTAACGTCCCCCTTTCAAGGAAAAATGAAAAGACTAATTAGGAAAAATGTACCCTATACACTAACTCATGCTTACAAACAAACCGGAGCGCCCCTAGCGGACGCCACCGGCGCCGCTCATGCGCCGTGGATGGTGGGCAAGAAGCCCGCCGTCGCCCATAAACAAACCATTGAATTGCGTTGTTGTCGGCGTCGGTGGGAGTCCCCGTGCTCTTTTTCGCGTTGGAATTGTTGATTCTACGTCCTCCTAACAATGTCTGACTACTTGAGCGGCTTCAGCAAAACTATCGAGGCAAAACTTTGCGTGAATAATGTGACTTGCGGCGATTCATTTCACGTGGACGCCGCAGAATGGGCGCTAAAGCCTGACTCCCACGTCGAGATTCTGCTCGCTATTTTCAGTCGCGACGTCGCTCGGACTGCAAAAGCGTGGACCGTAGCTGAGATGGTGGACATCGATACTGAAAACCTCAAGTAGAATCGGGCATTACAAGTCGGTGATGGCCACTGGTAACAATGACCAACAACTTCTTGTATCTGTTTACACTTAGCCGACTTACCCCAACCAACCTTCAAAAGTGTTTTGAGGCCTGCACTTAGTTCTTATCGCAATTACCGGGTCAATGATTGGTTTACGAGCCGCTGTCGTTTGAACGAACTGACGACAAAAAGCAGCCAAGTTTGAAAGAGCAGACGACAGTTGGAACGCACGCGCAATGGAGTACGGGCAAGACGCACCGCGTCCCGCATCAACAAACCATTCGAATGTCACGTTGTCGGCGTCTGTGTGAGTCTGCATACTCTTTTTCGCGTTGGAGTTGTCGATTCTACGTCCTCATCGCAATGTCTTACCACTTTAATCGCCTGAGCGAAATCATCAAGGCTCGTTACGCTGCTAAACTTTGCATAAATAATTTGACGTGCGGCGATGTGTTTGCATGACCGCCGCAGAATGGACGTACAAAACCATGATGAGACTCTTCTAGCTATTTTCGGTCGCGACGACCCTCGTGCTGCTAAAGTGTAGAAGGTAGCGGCGATGATCGACGTCGATACTGAAAATCGGAAGCGGGAACAGACAAAGCGTAACAAGTAGGTGATGGCCACCGGTACCAATGATCAACATCTTGTATCTACTGCTTACACCGAGCCTACTTAAGTCTTTTGAGGCCTGCAATTACTTCTTATTGCAATCACCGGGTCAAAGTTTGGTCTACGGGCCGCTTTTGTTTGAACGAGCAGACGACAAAACAACAGACAACTTTAAAAGAGCAGACGAAAGTTTGAACGATCAGGCGGCCGTGTGAATTTGAAGACGCACTGAATCCGTCGGTGGTCCGGACAACTTGGGGGTTTTCTCTCGGTCATGTTGGAACAAAGCAAATACATCTGGCGACTACAAATTGTGGCCCGCACACGCAATCGTAGTTCGACAGCGTCAGGTTTGCCCTTTTCACGGCTGCTATCGACGTTCTCGGACGAACGGAGGGTGCAAAAACACATGAAAACTGATCTTCAAACCTTCCCAGACTCTCTTTGTAAAGCCGCCATCACAGCATTTTGACGAGAAGGCAGGTTTTTTGTCTCGTTTCTTCCAAAGGAACACAGGAATGCATGTCTGGCACGGCGACTTCTGCCCACCGCCCCAGACCGGAAGTGCGTCCGGCGCGCCACCACCGCGGCGTGACGTAGGAGAGTTGAGTTGGTGTATATAACCAGCGCACTGACATTTTTCCTCTTTAAACTCCTTTGCTATATGTTCGTTTTTGTTTCCTAATTGCCCTGACTGCATTGAGAGGCAAACGATTATAAGTAGTCGAATCAACCTTATTACAACCGCATCTGTTCTTGAACTACAAATTGCAAGCTAATCAAGGCGACATTGCTTATTTAAGTAATCAAACTTTAAGTCCACGAAAGAATTTCGCCGTACATTTTCCTTAACGTCTTCATTTGTTTTCAAGTGAGAAACCCGTGCCATTACGTATGCTTCCAAAAAGAACGTTTTAAGGAACGACCAACAAAAGCATTAAGTTACAATTTTCAACATGCACATTCAACTGAGTACACGCAGCGCTTGATTTCCGTCCGCCGATTTACCTGAGAACAAGGAGTTCCAGCGAGGAAAGTAGCTTGGTAAAGTAGGCAATCCTCTGGCAGCTCGCGGTAAAGAATACATTTTATTGCAGATGAAGGCAGGCTCCGAGAGATATTCTTATCATTATAGCGGTCATTCTCCATGTTGATATGAGCAGCGCGAAGAAACATTGTGCACTTATCCGCTGGCTTGGTAAAGGGTATACATATATACAAAATATAACGATTGGGTTATCTACCGATCCCCGTCTAGTCTGCCCGATACCTCAGTGAATGAAGCTCAAGGCTCCCCGCGCGACAAATAAACAGCAAAAGCAGCACGCACAAACGCGTCGTTTTATCTGCTAAGGGGTTAAACTGAAATGTCAAGGCCGACGACACAATGTAGCAGGTTTTAAAAGTTTTACTTTTGAGACAGCAGTGCTTTGTAGTTATTATTAAAACATTATGGTGGCTTCTACCCCTTTTTCCCTCCCTTTATTCAATGTTTTCAAGATTTTGTTATTTTTTATATTTTCAAGTAAAACCTTCATTTCCAAATGTTCGCATAAACCATTCGACGAACATGACTGGCACTAACCACATAAGATCAAACAGACGAATCCCATCGCGCTTTATTTTTCAAGCAGGTTTGTACCAAGAATTTCGCACCACATATTCTATTCCCATTTATGAGCCAAGCTCATAAATTGTTTATAGCGGCTATAGATATTCTAAAGAAAATGTATTATTTTTCTATCCCCTGTCTATAGGTTTTTGGCTTTTTCCTGTTGACTTTCAATAGAACTATGAATCCTGAACATTCCTTTTAGGTTTTTTTTACAATGTGTCCATGGAAATATGCATTCGCCACTTTCCTTGTGCACATACGCCGACATCGCGAATACACAAGCCACGGATCTCTCATGACACTAATAATTCAGTAGACATGATATAAACAACGCGACTGACACGGACGAAGGAAGACTGTACGACACGAGCGCTGACTGGCAACTGACGGTTTTATTGTCATGAAACCCAGAAGAAACAAACATAAAAATGACTCCCCAATCAAGAAGAAATCGCGACCGTGCATCACAACGGCGTTTAACGCCGTCACAACACTTTGTCTAATCCTTAACGCAGTGCACCACCCATAACCCCTGTCTAAAAATTCTGCTTGCCCCGCTCTCTAACAGCGCCAAAGATGCTTGATTCACGCAGGTTGGGCCTGCCTTTCTTATATTGAGTGCCTCGACAATCTTCCGTGCCTTTTGGTCCTTTTGTCTAAACAACACGGCGGCCTCCTCCAGTATCGGGTGGAAGGAGGGGTCCCTGCAATGCAATGTCAGGTGGGAGCACGCTGTCCCTGCCAAAAAGCTACGATGCTCACGCAGGCGAACGTTAAGGCACCACCCCGTCTGCCCGATGTAAGCCTTCCCACATCTGGTAAGTTACCCCCTTAGTGCAAGACACGGAATCAACGTAGTGCTTTACGCCACAACCACCCTTCTCCGGTTTCTCCCCTACTCTTACGCGCGTTTCCACTGCGGAGGAAATCCCACTTAACTTGTTTCATGTCGAGAACACCACGTCCACCCCATACTTTGAGGCGGCCCTTTTGAGCCCGTGCGGCACGCGATGCATTGGAAAAGCGCGTGATAGGGGGACATAATCCGGAGAAGGGCGGTTGTGGCGAAAGGCGCCGCGTTAATAAACTGTTTTGCACCAATATGGTAGTTTGCCGGATACCTTTCTCTTCTGGAAAGTTTTACATCGGGCACACGGGATGGTGCCTTAACGTTCGCCTGCGTGAGCATTGTAGCTCTTTGGCAGGGACAGCGTGCTCCCACCTGGCATTGCATTGAAGGTAACCCTCCTTTTACCCGACACCGGAGGAGGCCGTCGTGTTGTTCAGACACAAAGACCAAAAGGCGCGGAAGATTTTTGAGGCACTCAATACAAGAAAGGCAGGCCCAACCTGCGTGAATCAAGCATCTTTGGCGCTGCTAGAGAACGAGGCAGAATTTTTAGATAGAGATGATGGGTGTGGCATTGCGTCAAGGATTAGATAAAAATGTTGTGATGGCGCTAAAGGTCATTATGATGCACGGTCGTGATTGCCTTTTGATCGGAGAGCCATTTTCGAGCTTGTTTCTCGTTGGTTTTATGAAAATAAAACCGTCAGTTGTCAGTCTGCGCTTGAGTCATCCAGTCTTTCTTCGTCCTTGTCAGTCGCGTTGTTTATATTATGAATACGTACCAGCTAGCCCAACTATCCGTTCTGTTAAAACTCAGTAGTGTTGACTGCTCCACGGCAATATACACCCTGGGCGTAAAGGCAAATATTCAAGAGTAGGCCAGCCCTGAAGATTAAAAAGACTACAAGTGTGTTGGTTTTTCTTGCCAAGACTTAGTACGAAATGTACTTGCTAAGGGTTCTTGAACTGTATCTCTTATTATAAAGTAATGCAAGAAGCGATAATTATTTGAAACATTCAAAAAAGTTCCCCCCCGTGAGGAGGTTCTAACTGGGTTAGATTAGACTTCGGACTGCATTTTATTATTTTATTAAACCTTGTTTATAAATATTCTACAGAACGATGGTGACATAAGGTACGTTGAGCAGTGGCGATAGAAATTATATAGCTTTCTCATTGTTTGTAGTCTATAGACCTTGATAGAAAATGTATTTAAGTTGTTGATACGACGTGACTGAATATGAAGCGGACAGACTCGTTAGATAGTGGATAAACTTTTTATGTACTTCCTGCATCTTTTTTGGGGTTTTACGTAATCTGAAAACAGAATTTTCAGAAATGTGTATTCAGAAATAAAATGTTATGTTCAATATAATTCAATGAACTGGTTACGTGAAAACATACACTTCTTCAAAGTTCTTTTTTCAAAGTTCTGATGCTGTCAAAAGCGTAAGATTAAAAAAAATATAAGATCGAATTTTTTTTTTTACCAGGAACCTCTACCAACTAATCGCTTTTATCGTTCCCCTTCTTGGTGATTATTTGTAGGTGAAATGAGCACAGTGTTCCACAAATATAATTTCTCTAAGATAGTGCTTAAGGCTAACGGAGTGTTTGGTTTGCTGATTTTCAGAAATGCTCAAATGACAGCTACGTTTTCTAAAGTTCATTTAAAGCTGAGCTCTCCCAAGTTAAACACATTTACTATACTCGGAGATAACTTTCTGCGACTATGCAGTCGATGTCACAGGCGCTGGGAAGTCGAGTAACTCGAACGCCACTTCAGCTGTACATGAGCGCTCTTCACTCCTTAATCACCACAAAACGTTGTCCATGAGTGTGAATAGCCTCACATGAAATAAGTTGAAGGATGCATTCCATTGATCGTCCTGAGTCACTTTTCTAATTTGTGAAAGCTCGCTGCAAGCTTGATTCGTAGTGTTCGCTAAGCACATAAGTGTGTGAACACTGTGAGTTGAGCACCATAATATCAAACGTACGTCTGCTAATAACAGATGACCCCTCCCAAACGTTTTACAACCCTCAGCTAGTGGCTTTGCGAATGTCCGCATCTTTAAGCAGTATTGATCATCAAGAACCGCCAGAAATCTTACGTTGCGTATATGCCTCAATCAAGAGAGCATTATTTTTCATGGCAGCAAACAACATTGATCCACTCACAGTCTTCTTCAATAATATTTCATTTTCAGGATAACTGCCCCTCCCCCTCCTTTTTTTTTTATTTGGCCAGCTCCGTATCTGTTTAGCGCTAAATCGACCCCTTCTACGAAAGGGTTGTCGACCCAGACCTTGAGCTATGGCGTTTAGAAGAATGACGCAAAAACTTCGATACTGGGGACACCTAGCAGCGTAATCCGTGACTAAAAAGCATATGCACCGCAAATTTAAAATTCCAAATACTTCGGCGCACCTTAATTTATTTTTTTTTTACTTTTGGCAGTTTTTGTGTAATATATGAACATGATCCTAGCCATGTACAAGTGTCATGATTCAGGGGCACTTTTTGCCAAGGAATGAATATTGGTATTTAAATAAAAGAAAACAATGTTATCGCGAAATACGAATCCACCGGAATGTTATCATGGAAGTCCAATATCAATCCACAAATTCATAACATCGCTTCCTTTAGTCTTAGATGCGATTCTCCCCTTCATCCGTCTAATCTGTTCATCCGAGAAGAGGTTCTTGTAGTCCCCAAGGATACCCTTGCGAAGAAATTCCTGCTTGAGCTCCAACTTCGGTCTTCCGCCAGATCTTTGACTGTATACTTGCAAAGACTTAAGCTGTCTCTCAGGGGGAAGGGAGAAAAGATCATGCATCAGGGTTTTCATGCCGTCATTGACAGTTTTCTTCAGGCTTTCAAAGCTGGTGGCTTTCACAATTTTGTCGAGGAGCACGTTATCATGTCTCAGCTTTTGACCGTACTCCTCACCAAGGAAGTCAGCGATATTGAGCACCCAAGTCTTTATGTCCTTTTGTAAGTCTTCGTACCTGAAGAACAAAACATTTGAATTGTTTCGGTGCTTGTAGAGAGACAGCAAGTGATCAAAATAGTCTCCGTAACCAACTTGGCCACTGAGAAACAAATCTAAAAATGTATCAAATGGTGCATCTTCAAGCCCATTGCTAGGGATGCCTCTAGCGTGGTGATAGAAGGAGACGCAGACGTCATACGGGTTTCTAACCACGAATATGTACCTCGCGTTCTCAGAGTAAGGAAGCTTATGGAAGGGAAGATGGCACTTGATAGTGCCTGGGCGGACCATTGTTTCTGCAGCCTCGGAACCCAGGAACTCAAGCCAAGGTGACCTTAGAATGAATTCAGTGAAGTCCTTGGGAAGGACACCGTCATACAAGATGCAGTGGGCAATGTACTGTGTCCAGGTTGTACCGCATTTGGGGTACGTGACAATGAAGATGTCGTCGGACCGGGGCTTGTAGGACATAGCGGACTGTACGGTGTCCTCGTCCAGGAAGCTGCTCATGTAGAAGCCATCCAGGTTCTTGAAAAGAGAACTAGCATTCACATTTGGTGCAGCTGACATCTGTTCCAGAGGTTTCTCCTGCAATTATAAATAGAACAATAATTGCACACTGTGACGATTGCACCCTAGACATTTAATCTTGAGATAATATTATCACCCTCTGTCAGTTCGATATTTTGGGAGAAATGTGCGATAAAAAATGAAAGATTAAATATGGAATCCTTAGTTCCAAAAGTTTTTTTATAATGCGAGAGATAACACCCACACTACTGCCGTATTGGATAGTGAAAGCATAGTTGGGACAAAAAAATTTGTCACCGACAAAAAAAAACGCCAAGCTATATTTACACAGGTGCACATTATTAGCATAATTTACATAGTATCATTATCGTCCACTTCATTGAAAATGTTGAAGAAATAAAATATTTATTCTTTAAATAATATTGCTAAGTCAGGTTTTGGCTGAACACTATTAACTGTTCGCGGCGCAATGCGGCATCGAACATCGCCATAATTAGGAATATAAATCTCATAAAAACTCTCCATGCCATTTTTAAACAGTTATATATGAAAATTTCTTACGTGCGATGTTGAACAATTGAAATATAGAAGGTTACAAAAAGGGCCCAGAACAAGTCCGTGTAAAATACTCTTTTGTAAAGTAAATGCTTGAAAAAGCGTTATTTATGGGATCGCTGTTGAAACGAGATGATCACTAACTTTTAGCCCAATAACACAACTTTGAAGGACCATATAACAACACCTTTGTCTAACAGCTTTCTGCTTATATGATTAAAAACTTGTTAGGCTTCAAAATATGTAAAGCCATAATTTGGCATCATATATTATTACTATACATTTGCACAATCAAACCACAAAATTTGATTAGTTCGAAAAAGCACAGACTAGCCTCAGCTAGCTGACCATCGCTCTGACTGTCAGTAAAGCTTCAAACCTTTACAGAAAAAAAAATCCGTTATGCATACGCCTCTCACACGTTTTTTCAACCCCACGAATATAAAACGATACGGTCAACCAATCTCGAGATTCTAAAAAAATGTAGATCCACCGGTCTCTGTTATCACAAAAGAAAAACACCTCAACAAAAATAATTGTGAACGACGAGCATCAAATTAGGAAAGTAATTTATCATTGCCTTTATAAATAAATACTGAATCACAATAAGCATATATATAGAGAGAAATAATTTCGGTTTGAGATTTAATTAGCTTCAGCGATTTCTTTGGAATACACTCCAATACAAGGCAAAAACTCGCAATAAATTTCAACATTCCGAATGGTGTATCTGCGCGGTGGAGAAACAGTTGGTGGAGGCTCTGGAAAAATATTTCCAATCTCGATGGGGTATTTAACGTTGGTGGCATGCTTTCCTAAACTATATTGCATTGGTAAACACCTCGATTTTTATTATACGTCCGCTGTTGTACAAACCGTCGAAAGCATTTCGAGCACGCAACTCTTACGAATTACGCTGAAAATGATGGAGTATGCGAAGTTGACGTTTTTGACGGAAAAATATTTTATTATAATTCGTTACAGTTGTGGTACACCATACTAATGCAGCATATGATATTTTCAGTAACATTAAGAATAATATACCTTTTTACCCATAGAAAAAATAATTTATGAATGCTACGCATATATCCATTTGCAGTACTTAATAAACCATACACCTAAGAATTTTTGTTCTATAAGTTGTTTTAAAGGCATTCCTTCGAAATAATAAGTATTGAAGCTTTATCTTGCTTGTTAATCGGGCGAAATATTATGAAAGGTATTTTGTTTTTCAGCATTAAGTTGTAATGTGGAACTCAAGCCAGTTCCAGCTTTTCCAAGGATTCGTTGGCCATTATGTGTAATGTATCTTAAGACTATACTGTCAAGGTCGCATTCGTGTCGTTTGCGTACATTAATAGTTCCGGGGTATCCTGCATGTTTGTCATATCATTTACATAAATAATAAATAGCAAAGGGCCTAGAATGGATCCCTGCGGCCCGTCCATGTCCGTACACCTAACTTTCAGAGGCTACTTCATTTAAATGCACATATTGAAATCGATTCATAAAATAACTTTCAACTACTTTTAGTCCCAGCCTACGTATTTCCCAATATTGAAGTTTAATTCATACGATATGCTGTATTGTGTCAGAAGCCTTTGCAAAGTCTAAAAACAAACCTCATTTATAACATTTATCTTCAATCTATTTTTTTATAATTTCAACTTTTATTTAGAGTAGGCCTCGCTCTGTAGATCTATGTTATTGAAATTCGTTGTGCCTCGTTCATTATATTCTACAAAAAAAATGCATCTCATCTAATATAAATTACATTTACAAATATGTTTTAAACATTTGGTAGAATCGAAATCGGTCAATATAGTTATAAAGCTTTTTTCCCCGCATTTAATTATTGAGCTAACTCTAGACATTTTTAACTGGTTCGGAAATGTTCCTGTTTGTATCATAATAATTGTTATATATGACAGAGTGAGTCCTAATATTTGTGAGAAGTTTTTCACTGGAACCGATTTAAAACAGTAAATAGCATTCCCAACATTGCTTTTTAATCTTTTAATAAGTATATCAAATTTAATAGGCGTAATTGGTTTGAAGGGAAGCTCCGGTCAATATTTTTGAATTTGGGATAACGACGTTTTCAGCTAAAGCTGCGCCCCTCAATTATATGGTATAATATTTTGTTTCAATATTGTGTGTTGTTTTCTGGATATCACGGGCTCAAAGTTTGGTTTTTGGTGTCTACGGCAAGACCTAAACTAGATCTGCTAGAGGGATGGCAATACTGATCATCAGCCGTACGGCCGCGACGTGACGTCCCAAGGGTGCCGCACCAGCGTTGCTTGACTAAAAGCTAACCCGCATGCCGCCCGCTAAAGAGCAGCTGGTCGCGTCTTTGAAATCAGTTTTAGTGGAGAACGTGGCTTCCCTCAGGCGTAATATTTCGGCTGTGATCATATTTTGTGCCACTAAATCGATACCAGTTATTTAATTTCGTTTTTGACTGGACTTGCTTTTTTTAAAGATTATAGAATAAATCAGTCTTTGTTCCGTCGATGCCGAAGTCGCCTGGGTTATCCTCTTCTCTATACATTCACTCACACTAACAAAATATGCACTCATAATATTTGGAAGATCTTTCCCGAATATATTTTTTTTGTATTATTGATAATAATTTCATCGATACATACTGAAGACTTTCTATTTGTTATATCATTCACTGCGTTCCATATCTTCCTGTTTTTTCTTTTTTTATATATTGTTGAACATACCTTTGCTTTTTCATTTTTTTATTTTATCTTTTCTTATTGTTATGCGCGTCGCCGAGCGACCGCGTACGTGGCCGGGCGGTTACAATACGCGGCTCTGGGCGGTTACGGTGCTTGGCTTTCGTGCGGAGGCCTCGGGTTCGGTTCCTGGGAGCGGCGCGTCTTTTGTTTATTCTTTCAATTTAGCGTTCTCGTAAGTTCGAGAACCTTGTCGTCTGTTCGAGATCGGAATGTTCTACGCGACGAATGTTCTACGCCGATTGTTCCATGAGCCCACGGGTGTACAAAAGGGGCTCCACGGGGCGAGCCGGAGTCAGTCTCGCCCCAGCGTTCGATCCTGATGTTTTGCACCATCGAAGCCTGCCACGCTAACCTTTTTTTTTATTTTGTTTTAAGGACAGGTTCGCCCCATTAAATGCTTAGCTTGCTTCAGTCTTTGTCGCCTCATCAATTGTTATTCGTGACAATATCGGCTGTTAATGCGTTTCTTTTTTTTTTTTTTTTAATCGACTCAGAAGTTGCTGGTCTCGTGTTTTCACAAAGTCGTGGTACACGTTGTCTTTTCATTTATTATCTTATAAAGACAGTCCTTTATTCATGTCCTCGTAACTTCCAGCCTTTTATTTTTAGATTGTACGAGGGGGTATGCATTATCACATCATATTTTAAAGATCTTTGAGAAGTGATTATATGCCACAGGGCTGTCAATTAAATAAGGGAAGTGGGATAGAGTTTCCTCGTTTATTTAGGGTAAGAAACTTAATTCTCTTTGCTTACTCCTTGTTTAAACAAGTATGTTAAAATAATATAGAATGGCAGTGACTGATATCAGTTGAAAAAAAAAACTGAAGGCGGCGTCGTGTATATTTGTTATACACAGGTAAAGTAAAGAGGCACCTCCTGAAAAAATCCTGGTATGTAGAGCCATCGCATTTGTACATAGTTATTGTAAAATCAGACAGGTTTGTGGCGGTAGTATTATTCAAGTTCATGTCAATTTGTATACTCTGCGGCAATATGAAAGACCCATTGGGATCGCGTGGCCGAGGCGGTGGCTGGTGGGGGCGCTGCGAGCGCTCCGGGCAGTTCCAATCTGCTTCGAGGAAAGGATCTAAAGCGAAACGCGATTATCAGATTGTGTTGAGCCCCGAGTGAGCGTCCTCCCCTCGAAGCAGAATGGAATTGCCCAAAGCGCTCGCAACCCCCCCGCCAGCCACCGCCTCGGCCACGCGCTCCCAGTGGGTCTTTCATATTGACGGAGACTGTACCTGACCCATAATAATAAATGGTTGGAAAAAAATGCAAGTTTTTCAAGAAATGTTAAAATTCGCCTTTATCTCCTGTTGGTGGTCTATATATAACAACTATTGCTGCGTTTCCCGCATACAAAACCAAACTTTCAACGTACGAATTAACAACAAAAACATATTTAACCGCGTGGTACAAGATACATGCTCTTAACCTAAATGCAACACCACTTCGTCGCTTTTGCGTTCTTGCACATTGGTAGTCTTCAAAATATGGTGCTGGATCATTTTGCTTAAGCAATGCTTGTGTAAACGTTATTATATCAAGACGTAGACATAGCGAGTCAAAAGAGGTTTCAAGATCATCTGATTTATTTTCATAGTTTTTATATTGAAATATATCACAGAAAAGTGTCATTTCTTGTTACGAACGTGTTTATTAAAAACATGACTGTTGTAATAGCCATGCTCATTTATCCCATCCGGCGTGGGGCTAATAATATTTACCACCATTTGAAAAACTGAGCAGAAAAACAGGTCTTTCAGTTTAGGTAGTCCATATTTAATTATTTCAAAGTCATCGACATGCTCGATTCGAAGAGTTGCTTCGTCGTCTTGTTTCCTGACGTATGAGCATACTTCTTTGTACCAAACAAACATGTAGCCAAGGTACCTAACCTTCATCCTGACATCGTAAAAAAGCTTCCTGTTGGACGCAATCATGTTCTCTTGCAGATACAGATTCTCTAGACTTGCCCCGCTACTTACCTTCTGCTTGTTCTAAGGTCACGCATTTCGCTCATCCCGGTTTACAAAACGCATGACTAGCGTGTTATTTTTTTTTTTTTTTGCTTTAGTTGGGATGCGATGAACAGACTCTGCGTTACTCTTAGTCAACCTTGGCACTTCCCTTGATTAGAGATCTTGTTCAGGTTTTCCAGCAGATTTTCATTTAGTGTTTCAGTGAGTCCCCTTACTTCGAGATCATTTATTCGTCCATACTTCTCCAACCTATTTAGTTCTCTTTTGATCTGGGAAGTTTCATCAGTCTTTCGATCTTGCTTGATTTCGTTTACTTTATTTCTTCACTTTTTTTATATCGCTTTCATGTTTTTCATTTTTTTAGTACTTCATCGTAGCTATCCGACATCGACTGTACCGATTTTTAAAAGTGCATCACGGTTTCTTTAATTTCTGCCAGCTCGTCAATTTGCTGCTTTATTGCTGCAAGTACTGCCCACATCCACATAATTGAACTTTACTGTTATTACACGTCTCACGGCTGTTCGAGTGACTGCTTATTGTCCTGCGAGCTCCTAGTTATTGCTTTTGCTCCCTGGAAAGTCTGGCATTTCCAGGTTTCTTTGAACCCCGGTTGTTTAGTTCGGAAAGCGATTTCTGTCACACCCGCACAAGTGCCAACGTTATAACTAAACGGGAATTAGTTTCACTCGAAGACAACAGGGAGTTTTAGAATAACGTACGCAATTTTAGCGCACGCTACTGTTAAATTCAGCGCTTGTGTTACCCACGCTACGCAAGAGTGTTTTAGAATAACGTTTCTCTGCCGCGACGCAAGAGCCCCAGCATCTCGCCGCTGCAACGCCACCAAGATACAGTCACAATTCTTATTTCACACATCGAATGCTGTAACATGAAAAAAAAAACAGGTTTTGGTGCAAAGTAACATTTTAGATTAGTTTAAACATGAGCATGCGACGGGAGCGGTCGGCCGGTCGTGTTCGCTTGCATCGCCTCTAGAAAGGTCTCCTGTACTAACCTTCGCACACCGTACCTTCGCCGAGAAATATTACCGCGTCGGAAGCAAAGTTGCCGCTGATCGTTGCCGATTTAATTGCGTTTTCCAAACCGAGTGCAATGTCGTCCCGTATTTAAAATTGCCGTCGCGAGGATGCCGCCGACATCGCGCTCACGTCGACGCCAAGGCGGCCGCAGCTATGGTCCTGGGAGCCGCCATTTTTGAACTGTGGTCGTCTAGGCTTTAGCCAACTTCTCATCACAAATCCTCCTTGGAGCTCCTTGCTGACGCACGCAATTTCCAAAAAAAATAGCATACAGTAAAATAGCGCACGGAAAGCGCAAAACTTGGTTAGCGTGCTGCGTGAGCTCAGTGGCGACGACGCTTTTCAATGCGCACGGAAAACTTTAGCGTGCTCTATTCTAAAGCTCCCTTATGTTCTCATCATCAATTTCCGTCTTACAATGTAGACACAAATCGTTTTCGGCATGGAAGTGAACACTCAGAGGCAGCAGTCAGCGATTGGGATATTTGTGATTAAAAATAATAAAAAAATGGTACTGCTCCTACCTGCAAAGTCAGATGATTAGAGTACCGCAGACAGCCCTGGTCGCTGACTCCTCCCGTCGACGCTGCACTGCTTCTTTTATAACCTCTGTCGACTTGGTGTCGTCTTAGCCGCGGTTGTCTTGGATTCCGTTGTCGCCACTGCTGCCGCTGTAGTTCCCTTGGGCCTGTTGGCTTGTTCTTCTGGCTGACCGAAATGGACGCCAGCTGGCCCGTGTCGCTGACGCGCAGCTTTTCGGGGGCGGAAGGCGGAAGCTGCATAAACAAAGGAATAGTCAACGAGGTAGAGGGCCTTAGAGTGATAAACTAGTATACCGTTCATCAGGCAAAAGTGACCCCCGATTGGCCGCCGCCATGTTGTACAATTTTGACCACTAGACACGTGACCAGGCCAAATCTATGACGTAACCAGACCAAATCTCTGGCGTCAACGAAAAGATGGCAGCGCCCAGTGCGTGTCGGAAGCGTTGTGGGCGTTGATCGGAGTGTGTGGATTTCGTGAGCGGAATTCGGTTTTTCAGGGTTTTGTGTGCTCTCCCGCGTAGGAATAACGTGAAGTACGAGCGAATGAGGCTTTTCTTTTTTATTTAATTCAGAGTAAGCCAGATTCGGTCCCGTGCTTCTCGTACGGGCTCGGATCACTACCTCGGACATCGCTCGGTCGTAAAATATCCGCAATCGTTAACCACGGGAGCTCCTCCATAATCGCTGAGTCGAAGGATACGTCGAACCCATCCGGAACGCGGAGTCTAAAGGTATATAGGACGTAACCAGAACGCGGAGTTCTAACGGTACGGCGGACGTGCCCGGGCAATTTTCTTAGCTCGACCGTCAAGATTCGCATTTGAAGCAGCGAGTGAAGTGTTGAAATCTCCGAACTGCTCGGTGCTGAGCTAACTACGGACCACTTCACTATGTGATCCGTAGTGACGTGAAAAAGACCGACGGCGGTCACTCCGGGCGGACGGCGGCTCCCGGCCGCCTGCCGGGTGCCTTCTGTGAAGGGGCCACAGTCGTGTAAGCAGTACTGTACCAGCTTCTCTTATAGTTATGTTGTTCTCGAGCAGCTTCCCGATCACTAAACCCCGCAAACGCGTGCCGAAATTTCAAAAGGTGTCTGCCAACCTGGAAAGCCTTGAACTCCCAGGGAATTTCGGATCATCTGGTAAAGTCAGGGAATCATTCAAAAAGTGGGCTAAATAAGGGAAGACGACTAGTGAAAGCGGCATGGCGGTTGCTCGTCGGCACGGCCATGCTGAATGACATTGCCGAAATGTCATCCTTCGACTCAAAAACTCGAGGAATTTGATCAAAATAGTCAGGGAAAAACTTGACAAAGTCGGGGAATTTGAAATCAGTAGTTTGTTAGACACAATGTTTGATTTTCTTGGCACTCCACGCGTTTTTACACACGACAGGCACACGCCCGTGTATCACACGGCAGCCAGGCCAAGCGGCTGCCAGCCACTTCTGCAAGGTCGATAAGACGCAAGCGTGGAACGCTTTCGGACTGCTGTAAATACACCAGCGGGAGCGTCCGGCCGCAGTCCGACTGCCCACGCTAGGACACCCGACACAGACTCCGCGTCCTGGGTACGTCTGACGTATCTTTAGATTTTGCATCCTGGGTACGTCAGACCTATCTTTAGTCACAGCGCCTGATAATAGTAGTGAATAGGGTCACGTTCAGTGCGCAAGTCACTTTATTACACTCGGAGAGCGGAATTCCATTCCCGTTGCGCAGGCAGTTCCCAAGCTAGGCATGCACTTGAAGACTATGTTTCACTCTTTCATAAAGCAAGCTTTGCGGGACCCCTCCGCCCTTGTGCACCCATTCGCAGGTCGTGTCGCCAACTCCCGCAGGTTCAGTGAGTTGCCGAGCCACTGCAGCCCTGGCGTCGCTTGGTACATACAAGAGGCGGCTCACGTCGGTCGTCCAGCAGCGTACTGGAGGGACGCAAAGCTAGCAGCCTCCTTGGTGCACGCAAGACGAGGCTGAGCAGAGCTCCAAGCTCTTCTGACGCACATGTGCACTCCAATGAGACCGGTGTCGCACCCCGATTCCTAGAGATGTGGTCGCACTGGCAGTCTTATTGGTCCCTGGGGGCCGTCGAGGAGTGCCAGAAAGCAAAATTCCATCCTTCTTGCGCAGGTAGTTCCCCAGCTAGTCACTTCCTTGACGACGTCGCACCCTCTCTGGAAGCAAGCTTCGGGATGCTCTTGTGCACCCATTTGCAGGTCGTGTCGCCTTTGCTCACGTAACTCCCGCAGGTCCAGCGAGTTGCCGAGCCGCTGTAGCCCCGGCGTCGCTGGTCGTGCATCCTGGTTCTGGTCGTGCATCAACCACCGCTGCCCATTTCCGCTGACTGCTTGGGTGTGGTAGCTTGACGTGCTTTCGCAGAAAGCTGTATGCCTTTGCCGAGTAAAAATGGAGCGTGAGGGCAAACTTGCGCACATCCTCTGTACATGCGTTTTTGTTGCGCCTGACTCTTTTTAAGACGAGGTTGCGCATTGCGTTGGTGAATGCATTGTCAAGTATGTCAACTGCTGGCTTAGGAAGTCGTTTCCTCAATTCACGGAGCAGCGTGTTCAGCTTCCTAATCCTGGCCGTCTTCCGATTGATCTTCTTCTTTGCCTGTTTCAACAGTTTCCTCGCCTTCTGCAGCTTTTGCCTACTCGTGGCCAGGACCCTGTGCAGTCGTGGTGACACAGCTGCGTACGAGTGGTCACCGAAGGAAGTGTTGCGTCGCTTGAACACAGCTTCAGGGGGAGTCTCTGACGTCGTAGCCGGAGAGGGGGAAGTAACAAGCTCCAGTTTTCAGGTACTTCGGGCGACTAGTTGCACAACTTGCAAAGGTGTGTCTCTTGTATCTGAAAGTGGTGGTCAACGAATCACTAGAAAAGTGGCATCTTTGGGATCAAGTTGATAGGTTCGAGTAAAACATTCAGGTTCTTTGCAACACTTTCAACCACCACCATTATAATAATTCCATGGCATGCTGTATGCTTTTTACAATCATTCAATCATAAGTGGGTTACGTGTTTTCAGTATATGCTGATATACATAAAAATATGACCTCCAAACTATTTTTCTTGAAATCTGCAAAAACCGAAAGAACCCGAATTGAGCTTGCTTTGAAGAGAAATTGCACTTTCCACGGCAGGGAACCTTGATAAACGCCTGTACTTTTGTTGAACCACAACACCGACCGCACTGAACTGTCTGCGAGGCTGCTCTTTTTCTTTGGAAATTGTTTTTATGTGCTCCATTTAGCAATGAGTAGTGCATATCATGTTGTGTCTCCTAGAAACGCCACAGATATGCATTTGCTTTTACCACATAAGTACCGTGACACTCCGAGTTTTAGTCGATATCAAAAAAAGACACCGATAAGCTCAAAATTCGAGAGAACAAATAAGCACCAAAAAATCACCCCCATTTAAAAAAAAATAAAACTACGAGAGCACCTCAGCTTTCTTTCATGATGTGAGAATGCGTGAGCATTACTTTTGGCCGAGTTATATTGACGTCAATGAGCAAGGTTGACCCAATGAATAGCACACTAGTTTTGCGATCATGAGAGCCTAGGTTCGAAACCGGGCAGGGGATAATTTATTTCCAGGTTTATTTTTTGTTCGATCACGTGATTAATAATTAAGTCACATGACGAAAATGATAACGTGAGCACAGCTGTTTGTTTTTCTCTTATTTTCTTTTTCCTTAGATTGCGTCGCATTGGTCATGGCATTTGGACACAACTTTTGGTTACAGGTTTTGGCTGCACCCTTTGATCACGGCTCTTCTTTTGCTCACTGAGCCAGGTAATACTCACAAATTAAAAAACACCCAAAACATGGAACCCTATTCATAAGCCAGAACTCCAAGCACCCCCTTTTTGTGGGTCAGTGCCAGTTCTGGCCAACGCATAAAAGGTGTGGTCACATATCACGCTGCACAGTATAACCTGCCAAGAATGCATGCCCTGGCACACAGTCTTGTGGAATACAGGCAGTCTTGAATGTCACCGCTCGTTGTTCTGCTGACAGGTCTCACCCTCCAGAGAGGCAGCCTGGATCGACGACTGATCAGCCAACCCCAGGAGAGGCCCAAGCTGCTGCTGGTTCTGGAAGCAATGTAAAGCTGGTTACTTCCCCCTCTCAGGCTACGACGTCAGAGACTCCCCCTGAAGCTGTGTTCAAGCGACGCAACACTTCCTTCAATGACCACTCGTACGCAGCTGTGTCACCACGACTGCACAGGGTCCTGGCCACGAGTAGGCAAAAGCTGCAGAAGGCGAGGAAACTGTTGAAACAGGCAAAGAAGAAGATCAATCGGAAGACGGCCAGGATTAGGAAGCTGAACACGCTGCTCCGTGAACTGAGGACACGACTTCCTAAGCCAGCAGTTGACATACTTGACAATGCATTCACCAACACAATGCGCAACCTCGTCTTAAAAAGAGTCAGGCGCAACAAAAACGCATGTACAGAGGATGTGCGCAAGTTTGCCCTCACGCTCCATTTTTACTCGGCAAAGGCATACAGCTTTCTGCGAAAGCACGTCAAGCTACCACACCCAAGCACTCAGCGGAAATGGGCAGCGGTGGTTGATGCACGACCAGGACCAGGATGCACGACCAGCGACGCCGGGGCTACAGCGGCTCGGCAACTCGCTGGACCTGCGGGAGTTACGTGAGCAAAGGCGACACGACCTGCGAATGGGTGCACAAGGGCGGAGGGGTCCCGCAAAGCTTGCTTTATGAAAGAGTGAAACATAGTCTTCAAGTGCATGCCTAGCTTGGGAACTGCCTGCGCAACGGGAATGGAATTCCGCTCTCCGAGTGTAATAAAGTGACTTGCGCACTGAACGTGACCCTATTCACTACTATTATCAGGCGCTGTGTCTAAAGATAGGTCTGACGTACCTAGGATGCAAAATCTAAAGATACGTCAGACGTACCCAGGACGCGGAGTCTGTGTCGGGTGTCCTAGCGTGGGCAGTCGGACTGCGGCCGGACGCTCCCGCTGGTGTATTTACAGCAGTCCGAAAGCGTAACACGCTTGCGTCTTATCGACCTTGCACAAGTGGCTGGCAGCCGCTTGGCCTGGCTGCCGTGTGATACACGGGCGTGTGCCTGTCGTGTGTAAAAACGCGTGGAGTGCCAAGAAAATCAAACATTGTGTCTAACAAACTACTGATTTCAAATTCCCCGACTTTGTCAAGTTTTTCCCTGACTATT